AAAAAAAAAAAAAAAAATTGGGGGGGGACAGGATCTCAGTAAGTCGTGAAGTTGCCCAAGTTAGGCTTGAACTTGTTACCCTTCTGTCTCAGCCTGGGATTTAGCTCAGTGGTTTCACCACCTGCTGCCCAAGCTCAAGGACCTGAGTTTGATCCCCGGTACCAAAAAAAAAAAAAAAAAGAATACAATTGGGGAGTGTAGGTCATAAATGTATCAAAGTTTATTTCCTGTAAGAAGAGATTCAATCCTACTTTACACTATGAAATGTTTCAAAATTCATAAGCAACTGATTTAGGCCCACTTAAAGGTTTTCCTTTTGTCTTTGCCTTTGATGCTGTTCTGTAAACAACGGTGTGCTAAATAATTGTAATAAGATTGCAAATTGTCACAAGAGCAGCTGACACACAAGTGCTTTGTATGTTTGTCACTGCCCTCATCCGCCTAATCAGAGTTTTCTATTCTTTGTGCATGTGTTTTTTGAATCTGTGATGTGTAATTACTAGAGATTTATCCCCTAGTTTCAAATGAATGTTAATCACATCTAAGAGTAATCATTTTCCTAAGAGAATATTTATTTCAGTAATAATGTTTATATCTCTTGATATGTCAAAATTATCAAAAAAGAAATAATTTTATATCTAGAAATCAACGGAGTAAAGCTGAAGGCTTAGTTAATACAAATTGTATTAATTTTTTCATATTATGTGATGATAAAATGACCTATTTGCACATGTTGATGAAGTCATGCTGTTGACCCTCAATAAATGTTAAATGATATTACAATGTTATTGATTCCTGTGAATTCCAAACTTTTTGACAACTGTTTCTCTTTTGATTGTTTAATATTTATTGAGCGCCCACAACAGGTTAGGCGCTGGGAAAGAGGTTCACAAGGGAGGTAGTGAGCTTCAGGATGAAAATGCTCTTCCTGCAACCCCTGAAACTGAGCAGGGTGCCTGTTTACATATTTTATATATTTTAAATTAACTTTATATATATATTTAAGAGAATTTTTAACAATTCACTGTCACACTTGTTCACATAACACGATGCACTTCTTACTCATCTTTAGTTATCTGAGTAATTTCTTCTCACAGCTGTTTTATTTCACTTATGGTGAAATTCCCACATCTTTCCTCCCTGTGCCTCCCACCCCTTTAATGAGCAGACAGATCTAAATTTTACCTATCTCAGCAGAGCAGCTCAGTCTCAAAGGAAGTTTGTATTGTTGCACGGCTTCCCACATTGTTATATTACTCCCTGCATCACTTATTCCTGGGATTCAAACACTTACTGGCAGGATTCTCATTTGCCACTGAAGAGAAGTTCAGCCACGAGTGCCCACCTGTATCAGTTACGTTGGTGATATTTGGAGGTGATGCTGAAAGTTGTCAATCGTATGCCTTTGTCGAAAATTTAAGGTTTCTTTATTATTAGTGGTTCATCTTCTCCAATAAGCTTGTATGTACTATCTTGATCACCCCGTTTTATGCCTTTCAATTATCATAAAATGAACTGTTCTGTCAGTGGGTACTGTTAACTGGAAATTTTGGACATTCTGTGGAGATGCACACTAAAACTATAAGATCAACCCAGGGATACCCTCCTTCCCTATCTCAGCATTCTATACTGGAAATACCACTGTTACTATCAAGAAACATCAGTAGTAATCAGGTCAGAAGTGACAAGTAGAATGGCTAAACTAGATACGTTAGCTGACGTTACCAGGACAGACAACACACAGGAATGATATGGCCCTCCTGCTTCCCCTCCGTTTAATATCTTCCATGACTGATCAATATAATTTCTTAATGGAAATGTTGTCAATGTCTTAGACTCTCAAAGTAACAAATTTTTACATCATATATGTGCTGTTACTTTACTATCATAGAATCCTTAAACATTATCTTGATTTGGGCTGGGGATTTAGCTCAGTGGTTCTGCCACCTGGCTTGCAAGCACAAGGACCAAAGTTTGATCCCTGGTACCAAAAAACAAAACAAACAAACATTATCTTGATTTAACTTTAAACAACTTTCATGTGAAATTAACAGAATTCAAATATAAAACATTTCCTGAAGCTCAGTCAAGTCGAATAGCAAATAAGAAGCAAGTTGTCCTGTGATTTCCAAATTTATCAACAATTCAGGTCAGATTTCTCTTGACAATACCTTATATAATTGAAAGGAATTTGAAAGCAATAAGAGATATATTCTTAATCTTTGTCTACATGTTAATATTAGGTTGATGTTTCCTTACAACACCCTTAAATCAGTAATGGGCCATTTTCTTTCTCATCATGAGGAAAACTTTTCTCACAAATCCTAATTTTTTCTCATATAGAATTTTTGTCACTCTCACCAGCATTCAGCATATGAAAACAACCTTTATGTATTTAATATAGACACTTGAAGACAAAGTTTTGTCCTCAAGAAAGAGTAACCACCTTTCTTTGTTCCTTTGGCATTCTAGACTACAGTGTAATGGAAGTCTGCAGAAATCCACTGCAGTGTTCACACTAAGCACAGCAAGAAAACATCCCCATAAGAACCCAAGGACATTATCCAGCTGCTAATTATGTTTTATGTCACACTGAAAAATTGCTTACAATCAATTGCTGTCACATCCTAGAACAAATTAATGGTGCATAAATACCTTACTCTAGAAATGAAATACAGGTGAAAAACTATGACGTGTTCAGCCCTATTAAAAATGCATTGCTACTTTCTTCTTATTGTAAATTATACATTTTAAAGGATTTAAGGAAATATTATGAATTTTTGTTAACATTTTACAGATATGTACTTGGACCATATTTATCTTTGTTACTTTAATATTTTACATATTGATGGTATAAACTAACTGAAAAAGCAATTCTTAAAATGTCAAAACTCAATTCAGAGCCTCCTTTTGAAATTTGGGATAGCAAAATATTAGGTAAAAATGTCTTATTATGGCTTGCAGTATTTGGTTTTTATTTCACAGAAGTTTTATAGGAAAAGAAAGAAACCAGTCAAACAAGCCATGGAATACATTTGAATTCTCATTAATATCCCTAACAATAAAATTCATCATGAGATTTCTTAAAGTGACATTATCAAATGTGATTTTGATCTTCAAGAAGGAAATAATTGGGAAAAGCCTATGATGATATTAAACATGAACTCACTTGAACAAAATAATACAGAACTATCTCAGAACAGAATTTAAGCCTATTTTAGATTTGTCCGATTTTTTAAAAAAATCCTCACTCCAGAAAAACACGGCTAACCCTTCCAGTAATTTGTTCTGTGACAGGGGGCTAGGTATTTGTCTTGCCTGGCCTTCATTTATAAACCAGTATTATTATATTAAGCAATCCCTAAATGACTAAGCATTAATATTATAATACTTTTGCATTTAGAAGAACTATTTCCCGTGATGGAGACATTTCAGATTTGTCCTGAATGCTGAATAGACTTCGCCTTCTGATTGCAAGGACGATCTGTGCAAGAAGGAAAGTCAGATTCAGATACTAAAATGAAAATATTTAAAGGTTTCATAGATATTTCCCAAATGAAATAGAAGTATTTGAAGTATCTATGAGTATTTTTAGGCTACGTTTAAATTTCAAAATATAGACCTCAAGAACAAAGCATGCTATTGGACGTCAAAGAAAATCACATGGAATTTCTCCAAACATGAATTCAAGGATGAATACTAGTGGCACACAGGGTATAGAAATTATCCCCATGACCTGCAAAAATTCAACTATGAAAGTGCAACCCAGGGTATCTCTGAGGAGGTAGCACGTGGGTGACAGACACATCCTCCTGTGCTCTCCGGTTATTTTTACAAGTCACAGCAATGATCTTCTGCTGATTGTCATTTCTTCAGTGTACAGCATGCCACAGGCTCTCAGCGAAGCTTCAGTTACACTGACACTGGGCCTGTAAGAATGCTTAGTCTCTACATCTTTAAAGACGCCCCATCACTAAGGTGCAACTTTAAATTTCTCAGTAGAGACTGCGGGCCTTCGCCACTCCTGTGACTTCGGCCTCTGCTCTCTCCTCCCGCAGTGATTCCCAAGAATGTTCACCTGTCATAGTTTTCTTGCTTTCTTCCTACATCTAGGATGCTTTTCTATTGTTTTTATTGCCAAACTCTATGTCAGCTTCAGAATGCATCCCAAAAGCCAATGTTCCTGTGATGTCTAATCTTAGTCACTCAGGTTGTGTTTGTCAGTCTGTCTGCTGCAGGCAGAGCTCTGTGTATATGACTACAATACAGTGAGCCCTCAAGTTACAACCTGCCTGACACACGAACAACTTGGGTTAATTAGGTTAATGGAAGATTCATCTGCCTCTTGTTACCTATAGCGTGTACCCAGGTAAACATCCAAATGTCAGCTCTATTGACTTAGTTACAACCAGCCCTCAGGAACCATCAAGTTCGTAAGTCAAGGGTCCACTGTATTCTCTTTATATATTGGAGATCTGCTGTGCTGATATTTTAGATTTGTCCAATTTTTTAAAAAAATCCTCACTCCAAGCACCACTTTGAACTTTGTGGTGGGGGTGTACACAAAAGGAGGGTGACATCACAGACTTGGGGAAGTTTGGTTGGATGCAGGGAAAGCAGGAGGTGTTCACCGCCACGCTGAATCTGTCTCCTCATGCCTCCCAACAGAGACTGCGCTGCATGCAAACATGCCTGCTGTCAAGCCCCCTGCACAAGAGAAAAACACGGTCTAGACAGCTGTTGAATGCATCTAGCTTGTAGTTTGTCACACAAATGTGCTTTTCCTTCAAAATACTGTGCTTCCAGGGAAAGAGGCCTGCAAGGCCAGGTGCACTGTCACATCAGTAAGCACTCAGGAGAAAGCATCTCAGATTTGTATCTCTCCAGCCGAGCCT